GTATGTATGTATGTATGTATGTATGTATGTATGTATGTATGTATTTATTTATTTATTTACAACAGAGAGGTCAGAATAAGAAAGTGGTTATCTTTTATTTTCTAAGGTTATTGTATTGTCCAAACTGTGATGCTTTTTAAAAATTTTTTTTCTTTTATTTATTTTTTTATTTTTTTTTCCAACGTTTATTTATTTTGGGGACAGAGAGAAACAGAGCATGAACGGGGGAGGGGCAGAGAGAGAGGGAGACACAGAATCGGAAACAGGCTCCAGGCTCTGAGCCATCAGCCCAGAGCCCGACGCGGGGCTCGAACTCACGGACCGCGAGATCGTGACCTGGCTGAAGTCGGACGCCTAACCGACTGCGCCACCCAGGCGCCCCTAAAAAATTTCTTCTTAATGTTTATTTATTTCCGAGACAGAGAGAGACAGAACATGAGTGGGGGAGGGGCAGAGAGAGAGGGAGACTCAGAATCTGAAGCAGGCTTCAGTATTTGAGCTGTCAGCACAGAGCCTGAGGTGGGGCTTGAACTCACAAACCGTGAGATCATGACCAGAGATGAAGTCGGTGGCTCAACTGACTGAGCCACCCAGGCACCCAAACTGTGATGCTCTTAACTATTCTTTCATTTAGGCTTCTTTATAAGTAGGTCCCATTAATATCCCTTGTGAGATGAGGGTAGCAGACAAAAGAAAACCTAACTAATACAGTGTTGGGATTAAAAGGAAGAGCCTTACCACCCAACTCAATTAGAGGCGTAATTGTTAATTCCAGACTCCAAAAGAATTATAATAAGAGACAAATTATCAATCGTAGGCCCAAACAGGAAATATATATACATATATTATATCTTCTAGGAGAAACTGACAATCCCTACAATGAAAACCTGTCATCACCCTGAAGTCTGCATTTAAGACAACCATTCCTGGCACCTATTTTCTGCCCACAGGTCCTGTCCCAGAGCTTTATTAAAATCACCTTTTTGCACACTCAGCCAAAAATAAATAAAAAATTAATAAAATGAAAATAAAATAAAACAACCCTTCCCAATTTGTTCCTTTTTTGTAAAATAATGTTCTTTGTTGGATTTGGCTAAGGTATTGTCATAAGTTACATGTCCTGGATTGCAATGATCTCCTACTGACTTTCATTTTTACGATTAACATTACCGACACCTTGCATTTTAGCTAAACAGTTTGACGTCTTCCTTAGACACTAAGTTAAATGATAAACACACGATGTACAAAATTGTGATCAAAACAACATCGGAGTTAGCTGTATTCAGGAAAGGACACTCTAGAAACGACTCTCCATTCACTCCAAGCCGGTATGTGCTGAGGCTTTAGCAAACTTTACCTCTTCTCTTAACGGGTGGTTGACAGAAAAAGAGGAAGAGCGCACAGGCAGTATCCGTCCGTACGCTATTATTTCCAGAAGTGCCAAAAGTGTCTCCTCTGACGGAAGAAGCCATGCGTTACTTAGGAATACCGCGTCCCTTCCCAGATCCTTGAAGAGTCCACATCCACATAGATCCTGAGTTGCAGAGCAGATAGAGGCGGTCCATCCATCTTCCAGCAAACTTCGCACCTACCAGCGGACCTGCGTGATTTCAACCTATGCTCCCTACATTGGCCATCTTTACTCCAGACTGGCAGGATACAGGCCCTCCCCTACCCTACTAGAGTTCACTCAACTAGTACTGAAGAGTTCTCTTCGTCTAGTGAATACGGTTTCTCCGACAGACGTGACCATCAACCAATAACCTGTTGGAAATGACGCTCCTCCCAACGCCTGGTCAGGGACCGCCTTGTGGGCGGAGCTCAGGCAGGTAGCAAGTTCAGTGGAGCCACAACTGACGTGCGACAACAAAGGTCATGTGATACCAATGGGTCACATCAATTGGCTGCGCCCGGCTCGGGGCGGGGGGGGGAGGAGGGCGTCACGGACACTTGGGGTTCGCCCTGTGACACAATTACAACAACTTTGTGTTGGTGCTGGCGAAGTTTGTGATTCTAGGAAATCCTCCTAGTGCTGCGAGCTTCCGCCTCTTCTGCTGTCCCCGCCTACTCCGCGATGTGATCCACTAGCCGAGCCTCGCAGCCCGTGCTGTTTCTGCCACCACCTTGGGACTTTTTCATTGCCGTCATCCGAGGTAGGGGAGGCAACGGCGATAAAGTGCTATTTTCACGCGGCACATCTTTTCGAGCTCTGGACTAGAGGTTGGTGGACTTGTGGGTTTCGGCGTTGGACTTTAAATTTGTTGTGTTCTAATGAAATCCTGCGGAGTATCGCTCGCTACCGCCGCCACTGCTTTCGGTGATGAGGAAAAGAAAATGGCGGCGGGAAAAGAGAGCGGCGAGAGCAAGGAGGGGTCCTGTAGCTTGACAGCCGAAGAGAGGGAGGCACTCGGCGGATTGGACAGGTACGACGGCCGTCATTCTCCCAGCTGGTTCCGGGACTGCTGGCGTCGCTCTCCTGGGGAGGTCCGAATAGAGCTTGCCTCCAATGTCGGCGGGGTGGTTATCTAGGTGTTCTGCAGGCTGCCTTGGGCTGGGGAAGGGACAGGGTAGTGGCTTTCCCGCATCGTTAACGAGCTGCGTATATCTCTTCCTGCAGCCGTCTCTTTGGGTTCGTGAGGCTCCACGAAAATGGCGCCAGGACTAGGACCCTCTTGGGCAAGGTAGGTGACCGCGGCGGTGTCCAAACCTTGCTTGCTTCTTCTCCCGCGGCCTTCCAAGACCAGTCAGCACCCACTGTGACCGCGAAGCAAAAACAGTTTTTTGCACTTTCCTCATTTGGGAGACCTTACTTGCACCCTTACGAAATGTTATTTTGTAGCTTGAGGAGCCGAGACAGCGGCGCTTTGGGGACAGGCTCGACGTTTATTTCCGGGTGTTTGGTTAGGACGTTTCTGAATTTTAGCATCATTAAGATCATCGTTGTATGCAGTTCTAAACGTTTCAGACTTACATATTCTTTCTCTTGGTTGCATTGTGATGTCTGATTTTTACTACACACTTTAGGTAGGCTTTCTTATATATCGGGTCTCTTAAAGGGGTATTTTGAAGGTACTTTACAGCAGTGAAGAGTTTGCTTTGGGGATTATTTGAATCCATAAATATCGATTGTGTTTGACCTGAAGTTATTTGCTTGTTTGGATGTAAGTGCTACAGAAATATCCAACTGTGAATGTGATTTTATAATTCTGGAATTTTTCTGGAATCTTGGTTCCTATATGTGATAGGAACCAGATAGGATTCCCTCTTTATTTGTGAGAAAAGTTGTTGGCTTTTAGTTAATGGCTGCTCGGCTCGGCCAAGATGGCGGGAAATAGTGGGAGGAGAAATACTGGGGAGAGCTTTCAGAAAGGGAAGACATAAAGAGAAATTAAAGCGACTCGTAGTTATAGCTGTCGACGTGTAGTTTGACGGAGCTTTGTTAAGAGTTCTTATTACTTAAAAGTAGGATTCTTGTATCGTTTTCAGATTTCACATTGCTTTCATAAGCTTCTAGTGTGCTTATCCACCTGTAGCACGTGTAGTAACTGTCATTTAAATTTGCACAAAGGCCACAGAGTCTCCGTCTCTGTCATTTTCCATCTCCTGAGCAAAATCTGGTGAAAATGTTTGGTGCCAGGTGTCACCATGAAAGTTGGTATGTGTGCAACAAATAGCTTCCGTTAGAGATGTTATTTTCTGCCTGTAGTTAGTAGCTATGAATTTGACTTAGTTTATGCTGCAGTTGAGAAGAAAGTATTAAATACATTTTATTTAAAAATTTTTTTGCCATGTTTTTATTTCTACTTTTAATTAGCATAAACAAGGTTTGTAACTCCTAATCTCACTTTTATGTTTGTTTTGATGACAACTAATAACCAGGAGCTGAAATGTAATAATTTTTTTTCAGTTAAGTGCAGTCCATTCATCGTGTGTGTAGTAATTGGCTTCATTAAAAATATCAGTCATGGGGCGCCTGGGTGGCGCAGTCGGTTAAGCGTCCGACTTCAGCCAGGTCACGATCTCGCGGTCCGGGAGTTCGAGCCCCGCGTCGGGCTCTGGGCTGATGGCTCAGAGCCTGGAGCCTGTTTCCGATTCTGTGTCTCCCTCTCTCTCTGCCCCTCCCCCGTTCATGCTCTGTCTCTCTCTGTCCCAAAAGTAAATAAATGTTGAAAAAAAAAAAAATCAGTCATGATATCAGTATGATAGAATGTAATCAGTGATGACTGTTACTAACTTAATCTTTTAAAAATTTCAGTCGTTTATTGTACAAAGTATTTCCAACAGGTTAAAAGTTTTTTTAATTTTAAGGGAGATAGTATATTAAAAAAAATTTTTTTTAATGTTTATTTTTGAGAGAGAGACCCACAGAGTGTGAATAGAGGAGGGGTAGAGAGAGAGAGAGGGAGACACAGAATTGGAAGCAGGCTCCAGGCTCTGAGCTGTCAGCACAGAGCCTGATGCGGAGCTTGAGCCCACGAACCACGAGATCATGACCTGAGGTGTAGTTGGGTGCTCAACCAACTGAGCCACCCAGGTGCCCCAGGAAGGTAATATATTTTAAATGTTTGTTTATTTTTGAGAGAGAACGTGTGTGCGCGTGCGTGCGTGCGTGCGTGCGTGTGTGTGTGTGTGTGTGTGTGTGTGTGTGTGTAAGCGGGGAAGGGGCACAGAGAGAGGACGACAGAGTATCCTAAGTGGGCTCTGTGCTTTGAGCCAGGCTGGAACTCATGAACGTTGAGATCCTGACCTGCGCTGAAGTCAGAGGTTTAGCAGACTGTGCCTCTCAGGCACTCCAGGGAAGGTAATATTTTATATTGTAGTGACAGACATTTAACTTGGGGTTGATGCAGTTATCTTTCCTTATAATAATTTTAAAAAGGAGGGGTAAACCTATTACCTTGGTTATAATGAAGAAGTAAAACCTAAGTAATATGAGTAATTCTGTGTGCATGTCTGAAAATACTTGAGAACTTTATCTAATTCCACAGCCAGATAAATACTCATTTTAGACTCAACTCTTCAGACACTGGAGTTAAATTTTAAAGAATTGACATTTTGGGGCATCTGAGTGACTCAGTTTGTTAAATGCCTGCCTTCAGCTCAGGTCACGATCTTACAGCTTGTGAGTTTGAGCCCTACAACTGTCAGCCATGCTGAAGATTCAGAGGCTGGAGCCTGCTTTGGATTTTGACTCCCTTTCTCTCTCTGTCTGTCCCTCCCCCACTCACGCTCTGCCTCTGTCTCTCAAAAAATAATTAAAAGTTAAAAAAAAATTATTTTATTTTATTTATTTATTTTTTAAACATTTTTTAAATGTTTATTCATTTTTGAGAGAGCATGAGCAGGGGAGGAGCAGAGAGAGAGGGAGACACAGAATAATCCGAAGCAGGCTCCAGGCTCTCAGAGCCAAATGCGGGGCTTGAACCCACGAACCGCAAGATCATGACCTGAGCTAAAGTCGGGTGCTTAACTGACTGAGCCACCCAGGCGCCCCTAAAAAAAAGTTTAAAGGATTTACTTAATTTTTGTGCAAGTGTGTCTTTCTCAACTTTAATTACATCACATTTTACTTCTCTCTCTCAAAGTAAATACACTTAAAAAAGAAATTTGTTCCGTTTAAATACTGAGTAGTATGGTTTTTTTGTTTAGTTTTTTAAAAAAATTTTCTTTAAGATTTTAAGTAATCTCTATAGCCAGTATGGGGCTTGAACTCATAACACAGAGATCAAAAGGCACCTGTTCCAGGGCGCCTGGGTGGCTCAGTGCGTTAAGTAAGTGTCTGACTTCGACTCAGGTCATGATCTTGTGGTTCACAAGTTCAAGCCCTGCTGACAGCCCAGAACCTGGAGCCTGCTTCAGATTCATTCATTCTCTCTCTCTCTCTCTCTCTCCCCCCCCCCCCCCTTGTCTGCTTGTGCACTTGTGCTCTCTCTCTCAAAAAATAAACATTAAAACATTAAAAAAAAATTTTTTTTTCAACATTTATTTATTTTTTTTGGGACAGAGAGAGACAGAGCATGAACGGGGGAGGGGCAGAGAGAGAGGGAGACACAGAATCGGAAACAGGCTCCAGGCTCTGAGCCATCAGGCCAGAGCCCGACGCGGGGCTCGAACTCACGGGCCGTGGGGCTCGAACTCACGGACTGTGAGATCGTGACCTGGCTGAAGTCGGATGCTTAACCGACTGCGCCACCCAGGCGCCCCTAAAATTGAAGTTTTTAAATCTCTTTTGGCTTAAAAAAAAATTTTTTTTTTAATAGTTGTATAGTTTTGAGAGAGACCAAGTGTGGGTGGGAGAGGGGCAGAGAGAGAGACACAGAATCTGAAGCAGGCTCCAGGCTTCCAGCTGTCAGCACAGAGCTAGACGTGGGGCTCAAACCCACGAACTGCAAGATCATGACCTGAACCAACTGAGCCACCCAGGCGCCCCTCTTTTGGCTTTTATATAAGTCTGTGTTGTGTATCTTCTTTACATGTGTGATTTATTAATCATCTGGGTTAGTGTGGAGAACTTATTTTGACTGTTGGTTTTTTTTCCAGATTTTCAGGATCTCTCTTTAAATTTCTAGGCCCCAGCACAAACTGGGGCTGTAAACTCAGGCTAGCAAAGCTATGAATTTCCCCCATTTATTGTCAGCGCATTTGGCACCTCTGTCTTACACAATCCAGGCTTTGCACTACCCTCCTGAAATCACCCTTTTTTGTAGTTGAGTTACCTGGTAAGTTGGCTTTCTACTGTTGGAGATTTAGCAGCTTTTCTAGTTCATTTCATTTTTTTACTCTTCCCCTTGACCTCCTCCTTCTCCTCTTTTCTTTCTCTTTCAGCGTTTTCTCCTCTTCCATTTATTTAATATAAAGGGTGTTCATTATCCTCTTAAATATTATCCTAAATTAAAGTCCTTTTTCAGCACATTGCATTTGTGATAGGGAAGAATATATATATTTTTAAATGTGTACTTATTTTGGGAAGAGAGTGGAGGAGAGGGGGAGAAGGAGGGGGATAGACAATCTGAAGTGGGGTCTGCACTGACAGGCTGACAGCCTGATGTGGAGCTTGAACTCAGCAACTGCGGGAACATGACCTGACCTGAAGTCAGAGGCTCAACCGATTGAGCCATCTAAGGGCCTCTGGAAGAATATTTATGTAAGGTACTTAGCATTGGGCATGGTACAGTGGAGGCTTATTACAAGTTAATTGTCATATTGGAAAAGACATTTTGGTTTGAATTCACACAGTGGTTTAGAAATGGAGAAGGAGGAGGAGGCGGTCAAAGTCTCTTTTTAAAGATTTTTTAAAGAAATACCCTAAATTTTTTTTTTTTAAGTTGGCTTATTTTGAGAAATAGAGACAGTACAAACTTGGGGAAGGAGCAGAGAGGAGAGCCAGAATCCCAAGCAGGTTCCCTGCTGGCAGTGAAGGGCCTGATGCAGGGTTTGGAACCCACAGACTGAGATCATGATCTGAGTGGAGATCAAGACTGTGTGCTTAACCTACTGCACCACCAGTGTGCCCCTTAAAGAGATCTCTTGGGCATTCCTGGGTGGCTCTGTCGGTTAAGTGTCAGATTCTTGGTTTCAGTTCAGGTCACGATCTCAGTTGTGAGACTAAGCCCCACATAGGGCACTGACAGTGAGGAGACTGCTTGGGACACTCTCCCTCCTCCGCCTCCAAATAAATAAA